CATGTTCCGAATTATTTTCTTCGATTTCAGAAGTATCTCTTTCCGACTCAGCTACTCTGTCTTCTTCAATTTTATCTGAGTTTATTGTCGAATTATCAGATTTCGGGATCCAATCTTCACAAGTCGAGCCATCAAAACTAAATTTTGTTTCGTCGAAAATAACATCTTCCCCATATAAGATTCTTCTTTCTTCAGAATTCCAAAGCTTGTATCCGTTAGGACAGTACCTGACAAGGTAAAATTTTCTCAATCTCGACTCAAATTTTCCAGTTATAAGCTCCTTTGGTACGTGAAGATAGGCAATGCAGCCAAACACTTTCAGTTTTGCAATATTTATTTCGTTGAACCATTTGCGAGCCGATACATCTCCATTTAATACGAAAGTAGGACTTCTATTTACAAGATACACGGCTGTTAGCTTCAGACCAGAATATCTTTTCTAGATTACAACCTAGTACCATGCATCTTGCTTTTTCAAGGATTGTTCTATTCATGCGTTCCGCAACTCCGTTTTGCTCAGGTGTATATCTGATTGTAAATTCGAACCGTATTCCCTTCTTTTCAAAATACTTTGTTATTTCATTAGATATGTACTCACGTCCATTATCACACCTGAAACGACTCACTTTCAAGTTGAAGTGTGCTGTTGCCATCGCTTCATATTTCCTGAAAAATTTCAGCTCTTCCGTCTTCGATTCAATGACGTAAGCTGCTGTGAAATGCATGTAATCATCAACAAATGTTAGCATATACTTCTTTTTGTCATAGGACATCGGATTTATTGGGCCGATCAAATCATTATGTATTAATTGAAGAGGTCATTTTGCTCGTATTCGATGTTGATTGTGTGGAAGTTTCGTTTGCTTTCCTTCAACACAGGTTCAACATCTCTTCAGATCTTGAGATAAATTTATTTTGTGTTCCTTATCTTGACTGAGAATTTTCTTGACACTTTCATAATTGAGATGTCCAAATCGTCTATGCCAGATTCTTAGATCTGTGATAGTGGAAAGTGCCTTCGTTACATCTGCCTTTTCAAGATTCAGTTGATATAGTTGCGAATTATTTCTTGTTGCTATTGCTATCTCTATTTTCTTTCATTGTTCCTTTTCCATCTGCGAATAATACTTTAAATCCATTCAATTCTAATTTACGTACTGATTGTAAGAGCAGATTATAATATAGATCTTACGCTAACAGCACTCCTCGGATCAGTATAGAATTATGTTTCCGTTCACTATGCTCACAACATTAAGCTCTCCAACTCGATTAGCTTGTAGGTAACTTCCAGACTTCGCAACATTTATTGTAACTGGCTTATTCAACTTCTTAATATTCGATAACGAAATATTATCGCTTGCGAGATGTTCTATTGCACCAGAGTCCAGATATCAGTTAGACGTGACTCTCAATTTATCCTTTTTGTTTGTTGCAAAGCAATACACTTCCTCTTGATTGTCTGATACAATCTGCGCTGTAGTATTCTCATTGGCTTTATTCTTTTGAGGTTTCTTCCTTCAATCAATTCTCTTGTGACCGGGTAATCCACAATTGTGGCAATTGTACTGAAATTTAGTTTCGTTTTTAATTATCTTTTTTGTACCCTTGATTATTCCGTTACTCGTTGCAGAAAAGGTTGTTGACGATACATTGCTATGCTTATTCTTCCTGCATGTGCCTTCATTCCGTTTAGATTCCTCATCCAATAGTCTTGTTTTAACAAAGTTTAATGCCAACAGTTCCGCAAACATAGTTTCCAACGCAATGACTACCGTGTTGTATTCCGTTGGCATCGTGAGCAGAAGATGACAACATTCGATTCTTCAAGCGTAGCTCCTGCAGATTTGAGTTCCCGAATCAATTTATCAAATTTTAAAAAATGATTCGCCAAGTTATCGCTTACGATATCGAACGATTGTGAGAAGTGCCTTTCTTAACAACAATTGGCTTGCAATACCCTTCCTTTGAAAAGCATTCTCAAGCGATTGCTATATAGCGTACGCCGTAACTTTATCTTTTGCATATACTAGATGACTACCCACATAGCACAGTATGTCCTATGGACATTCAATTCAAATTTTCCAGTTATAAGCTCCTTTGGTACGTGAAGATAGGCAATGCAGCCAAACACTTTCAGTTTTGCAATATTTATTTCGTTGAACCATTTGCGAGCCGATACATCTCCATTTAATGCGAAAGTAGGACTTCTATTTACAAGATACACGGCTGTTAGTTTCCTTTATTCTTTAGAGGTTTCTTCCTTCAATCAATTCTCTTGTGACCGGGTAATCCACAATTGTGGCAATTGTACTGAAATTTAGTTTCGTTTTTAATTATCTTTTTTGTACCTTTGATTATTCCGTTACTCGTTGCAGAAAAGGTTGTTGACGATACATTGCTATGCTTATTCTTCCTGCATGTGCCTTCATTCCGTTTAGATTCCTCATCCAATAGTCTTGTTTTAACAAAGTTTAATGCCAACAGTTCCGCAAACATAGTTTCCAACGCAATGACTACCGTGTTGTATTCCGTTGGCATCGTGAGCAGAAGATGACAACATCCGATTCTTCAAGCGTAGCTCCTGTAGATTTGAGTTCCCGAATCAATTTATCAAATTTTAAAAAATGATTCGCCAAGTTATCGCTTACGATATCGAACGATTGTGAGAAGTGCCTTTCTTAACAACAATTGGCTTGCAATACCCTTCCTTTGAAAAGCATTCTCAAGCGATTGCTATATAGCATACGCCGTAACTTTATCTTTTGCATATACTAGATGACTACCCACATAGCACAGTATGTCCTATGGACATTCATTTTATATCCATTTTACGTCCATTTTATGTCCATGGACATGAAATGAACGTCCACCGTATATCCGATTTGAGATATCCATCAGTGGCCAATATTAGGATATCCACAGGATGTCCGGTCTTGGACATCTAATCCAATATAGCATAAGATCTCCGTAGAATATCCTAATTTGATCGAAATAATCCCAAATGATCCACACTAAAAAGTCATCCGTAGGATTACCTGAGGATATTTCTGATTATCACTTCTTTTACTTATTTTTTTATCAAAGTATTTGTTAATTTTATTTTATCTACATTGAAAAATAAAAAATACATTTTTGTTTTTTATTATATCTACATATTAATTGCATACACGCGCATACGCGCATGCGTGTTTTTGCGCATGCATGCGCGTACAACCGGTCCCTATAATCGGAATACTGGTCGACTAATCCGGCATATTTTGGTACTACGGCCGATTAAAGAAGAAAAAGGTGTGTGAATGGACGTGGCAAGATAAGACGTAAAGTTAGGCACACATCAATTATCTTAAATATATTAAAGTAAGTAAATTCATATTATAAAAATATATTAATATCTAAAGCTATAGTGTTCCGGCATACATAGATCGTCTTATATATATAACTTTTAGATTATGTTTCATACATGCTAATCGAATACCACATTTTTTTGTATAATATACATAATATCTCTAATTTTCTCTCTCTCTTTCTCTCTGTCTCTCTCTCTCTCCCTCTTAAAATTTATTTTCAATATATTTTAAATAAATGCTTCACACACACACACATATTCACTTACTTTACAAATATGAAACATATATTAATTCATGTGATATACAAAAGACGGTAATATATGTGTTATTTAAAATTTATCTGGTACACGTATTTTCTCTTCATGAATTTAAAAATTTTAAAGCTAAAAAAAAAGATCAAATTTTTTTTCTCAGAGAGAAATTTTCAGAGAAATTATGGAAAAATACAGTAAAAAACGCAAACGGCTATGTGAAATGTCACCTAGGCATTTGAGAAGATTTGTGCAAAATGAAATGAATTTATTAGATCATAATGATCAGGATGAAAGATCGTCCGAAATTCATACATTGCCAAATATAAGTACAAGTGCCAAAATGTTTAATGCAATTGAACATACAAATGAATGTGATAATCATATAGAGTTTATATGCAGCGAAACTGGAAATGACAATGTGAACATAATACATGAATCAAATGTAATAAGAAATAATACAGAAAATAACGCAGTTCATTTAGCCAATCTAAATATTGTTGAGAATGTCAAAGAGGATGACATGGTGAATAACATAATACATGAATCAAATGAAATAAGAAATAATAATACAGAAAATAATGCAGTTTATTTAGCCAATTTAAATATTGTTGAGAATGTCGAAGAGGAAAGATGCTTTAAATCTTTATTATGTGACTGGGCTGTAACTAATAACGTTAATCATGTTGCACTAGCTCGACTTTTGAAAATTCTTCGTACCCATGAATGCTTTTCTAATTTACCTGTAGATCCTAGAACTTTATTGCATACGCCGAAATAGACTAAAGTCAAAACTGTTTTACCTGGTTTATATTCTCATTTTGGAGTTCATGTCGCATTAGAGAAATATTGTCGAAAATATAATCATAGGTTTTATAATATGCATACAATAAATCTAGGAATTAATATCGATGGGTTACCTCTATCAAAGTCTTCAACATCATCATTGTGGCCAATCTTAGGATGTGTTTTGCCATATAAAGAAATTTTTATAATTGGTGCATATTATGGATATAAAAAGCCAGCAAATTGCAATGAGATTTTACAAGATTTTGTCGTAGAAATGATAGAACTGATAAACAATGGAATTTTTTTGTGTGAAAAATTATACAATATCAAAATTAAACAAATTTTATGCGATGCTCCCACAAAATCTTTCATATTAAATATAAAAGGTCACAGTGGTTACTTTAGTTGCACAAAATGCATAATTGAAGGCGAATATAGAAACGGACGTATTTGTTTTGCAGATATTTATGCTGCAAAGAGAACAAATAATGATTTCTTAAATGAAACAAATCAAAATTTCCACTTAGGCTACACTAATTTAAAACATATACCGCAATTACATTTTATAGAAAATATTCCTCTTGATTACATGCATTTACTTTGTCTTGGAATTATGAGAAAATGTTTGTATATATGGAAAACAGGTGATTTAAAAATTCGTTTGCACCATCATAAATGTCAAACATTATCAAATAATTTAGAAATTATTAAACAGACCATACCAGTTGAATTTGGTAGAAAACCGAGATCTTTGGATTATTTGAAACAATGGAAAGCAACTGAATATCGACAAATTTTATTATACACAGGCCCTGTTGTTCTTCAAGGAATACTTCCAAATGATTTATATAATCATTTTTTAACACTTCACGTAGCTATTAGAATTTTATGCTGTAAAAATTTATGTAAGAATTATTTGAATTATGCTGAAGAATTATTAAAACATTATGTTCAAAGTTTTAAAATTTTGTATGGAGAATACAATGTGTCTCATAATGTTCACGGGCTGATTCATTTAGTTGACGATGTTCGAATACATGGCATTTTAGATTTATTTAGTGCTTTTAAATATGAGAACTTTTTACAAGAAATAAAAAAAGTAATTCGCAAAGCTGATAAACCATTACAACAATTACATAGAAGATATGTAGAGAAAAATGCTGTTCCCCTCAAAACCATACAATTTTTGTTCAAAACGTTTTTTTCTAAAATACTTAGTTTTTGAAAGAAAAGGGGTGTACGGGTGGTCTAGCATACCCTGTATAATGAAGTTTTGGTATACGAAGAAAATAATCCTAAAATACAATTATTCGAGGAACATTTTAATGGTCCCATTATTCATAACTGCACAAATCCTCAATACAAAATTATAAATTTTTTAAATTATGTTATAAAAGTGAATGATAATGCTAATAATTATTGTCTAATGAAAAATGGAAGTGTCATAGAAATTGAAAATATTGCATATTGTGACACAAGAAAATGCTTAGTTGCCATCGGTAGGAAATATATGATTAAAAAAGATTTATTTCCTGTTCCATGTTTGTCATCATTACTTGAAATTTATATAGTTAAGAATTTGTCTGAATTATGTACATGATCCATATCGGACATCAGCAAGAAAATATTTATTATGCAATACTCAAACAATGCATTCGTCGTTATGCCGTTATTGCATATTAAATAATTAATAATTAATATTAAATGTTATCAATTTTTTCACTATTTGTAAATATTTAAAATAAAATATAGATAACAATCAATATGAATAAAAAATATCATATTGTCGAATTTGAGGATGGTCTTCAAATCATACCTAACAATTGATTTACGTGTGAAAATAAATCTGCAGTATATTGGCCAAATTTGACAAATCAAAAAGAATATGATAAAGCAGTCAAAAAAATGAAAGATTTTAATAATAATAATTCAACAGTAGTATCTGTTAAAAGAATATTTGGAAGTACAGGTAAAAGTTGAACTTACTTTGGTGCTGAAAATTTTATTTGCGGCTTTAAGAAAAACATATTTTCAAAATATTGTCGCTTTCAGATATTTTTGTTAATGCAAAAGATAAATTAAAATTAGCTGAAAAATTATCAGATTTGAATTCAGATGAAGACATGGAAGTTGTAAAAAAAAGAAGAAGACTCTATGCAACGAAAGTAATTTCTTCAAGTAGTGAAGAGGAAACTGATAATCTTGTTAAAAAAAAGAGAATAGATAATTATCCAAAAGTACCACAAATTTCAAAAGATTCGAAATCACGTCGTATGCTGCAAGATAAGGAAAACTGTCCATTAGAACAAGAAAATGAAACGCAGCACATACAATATCAACAAAATTATAATTTTTCTTCAGGCATTCATCAAATAAAAGGTAACCCAGACAGCACTATGACATCCTCGGGAAATCCGCAGGACATCCAGGACGGACATTACGGATATCCTGTGGATATCCAAATTTTATCCCGGGATATACTCAGGATGTCCTGAGGAATAGCTAGAAATATCCTCAGGATATCCCATTTCAAAGTCCTACGGATGTCCATAAGATGTCCGTAAGACATCGTAATTCCTAAAACGTCCACAATGCATTCAAAATTAGTCCAGAATATGTTATCAAGGTACTTTATATGATATTTTAAAGATAACATATTGAATATAATTTATATAAGATATATATATATTAATAGAATATAAAATAGAATATTTTAAATATAATATAGAAGTTCATAAATTATTTTCTTTATAAAATTGCGTTCTGTTATTCACTGCCAATATCGAAAATCTAATACTGAAAATAATTCACGTTCTTTGATATTTGAGGCTTTCATGCTGTACATGAATATATTAGGTTTGGCTTCCGGGTTTGAGCCGTTTAATATTTTCTAAACAATCCAATATCTGAATTTCCTATGTTGGGATTGCATCAGAAATTGAACTGATAGAAAATAATTACATTTTTAATTTCCTGCCAGTTGCTCTTTGCAAGCTTTATATAATTGTCATGACCAAATCTCAAATACGAGATGAACGCATCGCGTGCGCGTTGCATAGCGGTAAACAAACGAACTAGCGGCTGAATATACTATTTTTTGTAAAGTTTTTGGAATGTTGCGCACAGTAATATTTCTCATGAAATATTAAATAAATAATGGCACACAGAGCTAAGATCGCTATGTACGCAAATTTCCTTCGTTAGGAACGACTTAGTTACGTACCTGTGAGTGAGATATACCGAAAGTTTTCATAACA